ATTCTGTTTTCCCTCCCCTTCCCCCCATAGTTACTATTTTCTTTTCTTGCTTAGGTCGCCGCTACCCTCCCCTAACCATCTAAACTCCGGTTAGGGTTTTTCAGGGTTCTCCTACCCCCCTACTCTCCCACCTCCCTCCGYCGGGCACCCTGGACCCGAACGGCTCCTCTCCCCTCGACCGGATTCGCGCCACCATCTCACGCGCGACCYGCTGGTCACGGAGCGAGCCGACCCACACCTACCCACTCCGCTCTCGCGGTCCCCTCCCTCTCACCGGTGGTCCTCTATCCCCATACCACAACCCATATCTCCCCCCACCTCCCACCATGCCTACCTCTCTCCCTCCACCACCCACGGACATGGGTACAGTGGAGGAGATCGTTGTGGCGCCGTCCACCTCTCAGGCGTCCACCCTCCCGACGGTCCAGGGTCAGCACGGTATGGACCCCACGGACCTTCGCGCTGTTCTTGCGTCCCTCCTTGCACCTCTAGAAGCGCGACTCGATGCGCTTGTACCCCTGGAGACGCAAGTCAATGCGCTCGCCCTTGAAGTTAACCGACTCAAGGGTTCCCCTCATCGCTCCCCCCACCGCTCCCAGACCCCATCGYCGACCAGCTCGRCGTCTGGCTCTCCACGACTCCAGAGACGGAGACGTGGCGGTTCGTCCTCCTCTGCGGGTCAGGCCCAGCACACCCCCGCCCCAGTGGTGAGTGTTGCTGCCGCCCAGACCACACCGTCTGTTGCGGTACAGGCATCGGTTGCCGCCGCCGCCCCCGTCGCCCCTGCCGCTTCGGCCACTGCCGGCTGTGCTGCCGCCCAGATACCGACGTCTGGCCAGGCAGTCTCATCTACCCACCCCGGTGCTGCATCACAGCTTCCTGCACCGATCATCACGCCACTTCGGCTCGGAGCTCTTCCTCTCCCTGCTAGGACACTCCCTCCGCCTCCTCCACCCCCGACCCCGCGCACCCTGCAAGTGGCTACCTTACAAGCCACTGTGGCCCAGCTCCAGGCGGAGATTCTCTCCCTTCGGCAGCCTCACCCTTCACAGGCTGCGCACCCTTCTTCTTCCTATACCGTCCCTACCACCACTGTCTTACCGGCTCGCTTCCCTCGACAGCCTCCCCCCCCACTACCCTACTACCTTGCTACTCCGTCACAGTCGGCTGCAGCCGTTACCTCCACGCCTGCTGGACCCTCCACCAGCGGCCCCGGCTCACAGCCAGCCTCCACGTCCACCCCTACACCGGCTCCGACATCTACCTCTGCACCGGCGCCGACACTTGCCGCCGTAGTGCAGACCCATCAGCCCCTCTCTCCTCGCCGCCACCACAGCGGTCCCACCCTTGTGCGTYTGTCGGACATACCCGACTTCGATGGTACGATGCGTGTGACGCATTGGTTGCAGGCTGCCACACKCGCACTGACACTGACTAACACTAGTCAGGACTTGTGGTGCTCCGCTATCGCAACTAAATTGCGAGGCAGCCCGTTCTCCGCATGGGAGAACTATTTTGCCCATCGTGCTYGTGCAGGTGAGGCGCCCACCCTCGAGGAGTTCACCGCGTTCCTCCACGACCGCTACGACACCCTCCATGATACGACCGACGCCATAGATYGGGTCACCCAGACGCAGTGGCGCGGATCCTCCGCMCCCTCCGACCTCGAGCATCACATCCGGGTGTTTCAGGATGCCCGCCTCATTTGCGATGAGGCACTCCTACC